TAAAATAACTGTTTTCTATTTAAATATATTTTAAAATGTAATTTATTCCTGTGATGCAATGCTGAATTTTCAGCATTATTACTCAAATCTTCAGTATCATATAATCCTTCAGAAATCATTCTAATATGCTGATTTGCTTCTCAAGAAACATTATTATCAAAGCTGAAAACAGTTAAAATAAAATTTTTATGAAAGAATTATATTCTTAGGATTCTTTGATGAATAGAAAGTTCAAAAGAACGTCATTTATTTATGTATTGTACAAATGTAAAAGTATTTTCTGACACTTATGCATTTTATTGTGTCCTTGCAATCAATAAAAGTATTATTTTTCCTTCAAAAAGACCTTAAAAAGGCAAACCCTTATTCAGTCTGGTTCTATTCTGCTATATACACTGAACAAAATTATAAACGCAACACTTTTGTTTTTGCCCCCATTTTTCATGAGCTGAACTCAAAGATCTAAGACTTTTTCTATTTACGCAAAAGGCCGATTTCTCTCAAATATTGTTCACAAATCTGTCTAAATCTGTGTTAGTGAGCACTTCTCCTTTGCGGCTCGCGCTCATCAGCTATACAGGCGTTAATACTGAATGTTTAATGTTATATTCATTGCATACATATACTTCGTAGTAGACACCCTTAACTCCTTTCTTCTGTCTGTTGTTCTTTGTTGGTGTTTCTTTGTTTGAATATGGCGCTTATCACATGCTGTGTGGTATCGGCGTTTGGTATCGGGGCATTTTAACGAGTACGAGTACGAGTACAGGAGACCAGTATCGGTATCGGTGCATCCCTAATAAAAATGTTACATTATGGAAGTAAAAAGGGTTCATCTTGCTTTAAAGTTGCAATAGAACAAAAGAGAATCGAATACTGAAAAAAACAGCAGCAGTGCTTTGTGGGAAAATGTTCAAAAAAAAAGGTAATTTTGTACAGCCACCTTTTTCCACAGTCATGGAGACGTTCGTTTGTGTGATTGTGGGTGTTTTCTCTTTTTCAGATCGTGTTGCGAGGGTCCGCCTTTCTTCTGTTACTCGTCTTCAGAAGTGAGTTATCATGATTCTTCCTCCTCTCTCTTTTTCTTTCACACGCACGCACACACACCGTCTTTTATTACATTACACATATACATCATAAACATGTGTCAGCTTAATCTGATAAAGCCTATTTTTAATAAAATCCTACATTACCCAAAACCACGAATGACCAGCGGGTCTAATATGTGGGATTTTTCAGATGAATACTTCCAATAAAAGATTGATTATAGCCGTTGTGCAATAATCACAGTGTTTTGCTCAGTCTCATGTGGCCATTCATCTTGTGAAGGGATTCATTGGAAAAACTGCGCGTAGCCGGAAAATGCATACAAAAATGCTGCGACCCATCTCTGCTAGACCACAATTAGTCCTTGTTCTGTGGTAGGGTCTATGAGAGGCCTACCTTCATCACAAACCGCTGCACTCTACATCACCACACTGTTATTATGCCAGCCTCAGAATACATTTGCATTCATCTGCTGCTTGTGTGTGTGTAATCTTTAACTCATAAGGCATAATGGTGTCAGAAGGAGATTGTTGCTTATGCTTTATAAAAAATTATCAGATGCTCTTGTTAAAGGCTCAGATATTTGTCTCTGTGTCCTTAACGAAATTATCAAATTCATATTCTCTCTCTCGTTCTGTACTTTTATTTGTAATTTTGTGATTTGTGGATGAATGCTAAATTGTATTAGATATTAGTCCAAATGTCTTTTTTTTAAGTGTTATTTGTCATTCTTTATTAAGTTACTCTATCCATTTATTATTGTATTATATTAATACAATTATAAATATAAATTTTTAATGTTTTTTTTTTATATTTGACAATCTAAAGTGATAATATAATATAATATAATATAATATAATATATAATAAGAGCATGTTGCATCTCTCTGACGAACTACACAAATGTATGTATTTATATTTTGGTTGGAGTTTTTTTATTATTATTTTTTTTTATTATTAGATAATTGTTAATTAGATTATTATTAGATTATTAAAATATAATTTATTATTATATTTTTATATGGTATCTATATTTATATAACTATATTCATATAGGATTAGATTAGATTAGATTAGATTGATAAAAAATATATATATATTTTACTACTTTTTAAATTTGATCTAAAAATATAATATAATATAAAAAAAGAGTAAGTGGCAATATCTGTCTGGCTTCTTTATTATCTTTATCTTTTTTTATATGGTGTCTATATTTATATATTCATATAAACTGTATTATATTATATGAATAAATATAAAGTACTTTTTAAGTAAAATAATTTAAATAGAATAGAATAGAATAGACAAAGAGTAAGTAGCATATCTCTCTGACCAGCTACATATATGTATGCATTTATAATTTCAAAAATATTTTGGTTGGCATCTTCTTCATTATCTTAATTTTTGTCTATATTTCTTTCTGTAACTCATATCTAATCAGTTTTGGGCCTTAAATTATAAGTCAGTGCAATAGATTTCTATCCATTGCCCATTTTAAGCGGGTGTTTGCTTATGCCATTCTGGTAATGGTCTTTTTATACGCTATAAATAATAACATAAGATACCCATCAGCCTTCAAAATATTTTTTTGAAAAATGGCCAAGGTACATTGTTGAAAATTCCCCTGGGAAATCAATATCCCAAGATCTTGAACTGTATCCCAGAAAACATACTTTCCGGCACCTCCAAAATCTACGAGATATGATTAGCATCCAAATGACCTCACATATAGATAGTTGCCTACTCTTTATTACCAAAAGAGAAGCACAAGATTTCTCCACCCAAACTCTATCCATCTTCATGAAAGTTTTACTCACTAAAGCCAAAATGTGTCTGTGTTTCTGTCTATAAAGGTTATGCAGCTGAGAACGTGACACAAACAGAGACCCCGACACCACTGGAAAGCTCCACACCTACACTTTATAGCTCTAAACCCACAAATGTGGGTCAGGGTAGGATTTTTATTTCATTTTTTACATATTTATTTCCCAGCAGAACCACACAAACATCCCAGAATTGCCTGTTATGTTTTATATAATAATCGGTTTAAGTTTTATATGTTTATTCTATACTTGTTTCCCATTTATTTGCGGCTTTGAATCAAATTGTTTCCAATACAGCTAAACTGAGTTACAGATCCAGTACAAAATGTCTTCGTTCTCCGTTTACCTTGATAACATATTCTGTAAAGTTTGATCTGTCACGGAAGGCATCGATTTTTGGTGGCATAATAAACCCGGCGATATTTGTTTTGGCTTATATCTCAAATACAATTCAATCAGGAAAGTGTTCGCCTCGTTCCTCCAGGTAACCCCAATGCGACAGGGGTGACAACGAGCCCAGATGCAGAGCAGTTTGACCTCACCGTGACTGCGGCAATCACTGACAACTCTTCAGACTCCCCGGTGACCTCCGCTGTGACCTTTGAAAAGACGCCAGCCACACAGCGTAAGCTTCGATTCTGACTCAAATACAAGTTTGGTTTCGGTGGAAGGACTTTCAGTGTGGAATTGGGGGAGGGTAACAGAGCCGAGGATTGCATGAATAGCTGAGAGGCTTCCTCTTTACTCATGCAATTCATATCAAGGGCACACATAACTTAGAAACTAATTAGTAGGTAATTAGAAAATGTTCAACGCTCTTTCCATGCTGAGAGGCTTAAAGATAATGCGGTGTTTCCGCGGGATTGAGGAGCACTGTCGCGGTGAGCTGATATGCTTTATGAAGAATCAACCAACCATATATCCTGGGAGAGCAGCGCCATTGAAATATGCAAAAATTGAATTTGAAAGACAAGGCCGGACAGAGAATGAGTGCCGCTGGAATTTAATTAGAAGCAATTACGGACAAATCCATAGGATTGCGATAAGAGGAAGCGTCTGCTTTTCACACCCAAAGTCTTTGCTGTCAACCTACATTATGGACAAAAACGGGATTCAAAAGCTCACTTCTATTCATAATTCTGCGAATTCGAGGAAAGAATGTACATGCTAGATTAGGTTTCTCTCCTTGTCTTTTTCCTTGACCTCACTTCCCTCTCATTTTCTCTTTGCAGCGGCCCGTAACACCAACACCTCCAGAACCGCCAAAGCTGTGGTGTGGGGTAAAACTTTCTCATCTTCTTACTTAAATGTATTCTACAGCCTTTTCACTCATGATATATTGGAGGTGTTACTTTCCCATTGTATCTGTCAATAAAAGCTTTGTCAATGATGCTTAGTTTCAGAAAGATTCACCGAGTTTTAGAAAAAAATATCATCTAAAATTATACAACATATAAATATATATTTTTTAAAAAGTCATCAAAGTTAAAATATAGTTTTTTGTTTCATTTTCAGATTTTTATAAAGCTCTTTTTTTTTTTTTGCTAAGGAGTAGCAAAAATTAAATGTTAACTATATACATATAATTTTATAAATTAAATGTATACATATAAAACAATTAATATTCTAATATGTAAAATATTATATTAAAAGTATAATAATATTTAAAATATATCAAATAGTTATTGATTAATATATAGTTATAATATATTTTAAATATTTTATATTTTATATACACATCAATCCTTAATCACTGCAATTTTTTATTTTTGTAAAATAAAATATTATTTTTTATTATTATCTAATTTTAATATACACTACCGTTCAAACATTTGGGATCGGTAAGATGTTCGGCAAAATTTTGAAAGCAGTCTCTTATGCTCAAAAATACAGTAAAAACACAAATATTGTGAAACATTATTACAATTTAAAATAACTGTTGTGAATGTGAAACATTTTTTCAAGCTTTTTTTGATGAATACAAAGTTCAAAAGAACTCATTTATTTGAACTAGAATATATATTTATTATATTTTATTCACAGTTTAATTAATTTTGTATTCCACTCAAATAATAAAAAACTTATGAGTGATTAAATAAAGAAATCTTTTTTATCCAATTTTTTTGGTTAGGATATCTTTTTAAATTCCATCATGCATACACTGTAAAAAAATTCTGTACAATTTACGGTAAAAAACCGGCAGCTATGGTTGCCGGAATTTTACCATAAAAAATACGGTAGCAACGTTTTAGGTTTTACAGTTTTAACTTAAATTTACAGTTAAATACCGTAATTTCATTAACTGATATAATGTTAATATACAAACCTATTGAAGTACTGAAATCTGTTTAATACCTTTGTAATACACTGATAACCACGAAATGCAGGTGGTGATGAGAAAGTCACATGATGAACCAAAGCCCATCACAAGCAGCTTTTAAATAATAACATGTATAGAAGGTGCACAGTGTCATTCACACAAACGCTAAACACCATCATGGTAACACACATGAAACTGAAATAATGCAATAAACATTCATTTAACAACATTAGGTGTAACACACAACCCTAATATACAAAACTGATAAGAAAAAACTAAGATAGTTAATAGAAAAAACATAGTTATTTAAAAAAAAACACATCAAATTTGAAATGTAACGCAGGGAATTCTGGGAATGTCAATTTACAGTTATGCTTTTTCACTTCCAAAAACGGTATACTACCGTAAAATTAATGTCCAATACGTGTAATGTCCAATACAGTTTTTCATCGTATATAGTAGGGGAATTTACCGTTAACCATTTAACAGGTTTTTACTGTAGCATTTTTACAGTCTTTCAGTCTTTTACAGTTAAATTCACGGTCATTTTTTACACCCATATCAGTCTCCATTACTTTTTACCCATCAAGTCATTTGCATAAACAGCATCTCATTGACACAACTCTGATTAAATCGTAGAAAATTAGTGTTGGAGGTCATGTAAGGTGGACAGGTGAAAGATCGTTTCATCCCATTAGACCCATTAGACACCATGAACACACACACACCCACACATATACTACTGGCTTATTTAGCATATTATGAAAATGATAAAGTCCATTACATTTTATAGGCACGTGGACAAATAGGCAAAGAGGTCTTGTTTATGATGTCAAAACCTCTCTAAACTGTGCAATTTCCTCAACAGATGAGAGATGGGATGAGCCGTTTCATTACAGTAAGTATCTGTTTAATCATTCAGTAATTAATGGTGCTTGCTAATGCAGACATCACAATTACTACTAAAACAAACCCCTAACCCAGAGTATTGAACGTTGGCCTGTAACTCGTGGCGCAGCATTTGTTCTACAGACATGGATGATACTTTAAATCATGTGCTGTTTGTGCTACAACTTTTCCAAGTGACTGGACTTATGATTCTTACTTAATGGATGATAAAGCACGCAACAGATGGAACAATTAGCAGTGTTGTATATTATTATAGTATTTCATATTTGGAAGAAGTTTTTATTTTTATATTTTCAATTTTCATTTTCATTTTACTTAAGGTTTAGTAATTGTATGTTCTTTTGTTCTTATTATTTATTTTTCTGTTTAGCTTTATTTTTTATTCCAGTTTTAGTTATTTTAGTACTTCAGATTAAACATTTATTAAAGAAATAGTTCACCCAAAAATGAAAATTTGCTAAAAATGTACCCTCAGGCCATCCAAGATGTGGACGAGTTTGTTTCTTCATCGAAGAGATTTGGAGAAATTTAACATTACATCATTTGCTCACCAATGGATCTGCTGCAGTGAATGGGTGCCGTCAGAATGAGAGTCAAAACAGCTGATAAAAACATAATAATAAACAAATCCATCATTAAGACATTTTGTACTTCCGTCGCTTCTGGCAAAAATACATAAATCATAATAACACTTCCTCCAGTAAAAAAAGTGCAACCCCTCACATCAAAATCCACAGACCTGTTTGTTTAGAACTGAACTTTTAGACTGTTTTCACTTGCATATTGCATATTTCTCTACTGATTCAGATGAGATTACTTTGTTTTATCAGAGAAAGCAATATTATGGATAGATGTCAATGGTTAAGACATCTTAGCGATGGATTTGTTTATTACAAGTATGCAGCTTTTTACTTCACAAGACTTTAATTATTCTGACGGCACCCATTCACTGCAGAAGATCCATTGGTCAGCAAACAAAGCAACCAACAAACTCATCTACATCTTGGATGGCCTGAGAGTGAGTACATTTTCAGCAAATCTTCATTTATGGTTGAACCATTCTTTTAAATAGTTTCAGTTAACAATAACATTAATAGACCACATATTTAGTGATCTTGCGGAACTCGTTAGCAACTAATCAAGTAATGTGGCAGTTTTATTCTTAATGTCACAACTGTGCTGCTCAGGTGTTAATAGTCTGCTGGTTTTTCTGGTACGAGCCGCTGACAGTGCGTTCTAACACAAAGACTGGAGGAACTCGGTCTCCCTGTCAGTGGAAAGTATTGTGTTTATAAGAAGCACAGAGGTGCTGAGCATGGGAGCACTATTACTGTCTCAAGAGCTGTAGTTAAAAGCTTATGACCTGGCGACAGCCGCTGCTTCAATCACTTCCTATTGTTAGGGCAGCTACAGGGCATCTGATGTTCAGGAAATAGCCTCATTAGCTGTGACCCGTAGATGCCTCTGTTCTGCATTCATTCCCCAGGAACTAAGTTTATAAGTGCCCGAATGTGTTTCAGAGTCATCAGTTAAGGGTGTTTTATGCCGGTTCAGTGTTACTTCAAAGCCTGTGTGTGTGCGTTTTGCCTGCTTTGTGGGTACCGAATGTTCCCACACGGATAGTAAAAGATATACAGACAGACAGACAGACAGACAGATAGATAGATAGATAGATAGATAGATAGCTTTGAGAGACACTTGGTGATTTAAAGTCTGTCGTGACATCTTCACACAAACATGAAATTAAAATTAATGTGACTTTATGTATGTTTTCAGACTGTTTGACCGGATTCTGTGAGTGTGTGTTCTTCATCATGATTAGCGCATAGCATGACTTGTTTTTTTTTCTCAGATTACACCTCTCTACGTCAAGTAGGGTTAACCATTGCTGCGGTTCTCTTTGTGATGGGAATCATGGTGCTTGGTTGTAAGTAAACCTATCTTCAAGTCTCAGTCCTGATTGCTTTTATAAACCGTTGCGTTTCAAATCCCCAAACCCCTCTCCTCTCTTTTTTCATTCTTCATTCATCTGAAAGGTGGCAAAGTTAAACGAATACCACGGTGTCATATTGACAAAGGAAGGTGAGCAAAAACTCTCTAGTGTGTGTGTGAGGCTGTGAAGTTCTTTTCAATGGCATATGGTGTATGATGAATGAACTGGAAATAGAACAAGTTGCCATTTTTAATATCTTTCTTTATTCGTCATTTGATTGGACTGACCAAAGATCTATTTTAATGCTTTTGGATTGCTTCAATATATTTCACTTTTCCACGACATTCTAATTTATTGAGATGCACCTGTATATACAGTATATAGTTTAATAACATTCCATTATGAATAATAGGCTAAAGTAGTTGGTGGCTCTATTAATATGTTTTTGTTTTGTTTTTTTTGTAAAATTGTCATAGATTTTGGCACTGGAAATTGGGTTTATTAACGGATACAGTAATCCATGCTGTAAGCTCTACTGTAAACTGCTCATTTAGGCAAATGTAGAAGTTAATTTGAGAACATATGCATGCTGTGTATAGTATACATGCTATATACTTGCTTTAAAAGTAGTCTGCAAGTATGCTCTTTCGTACATAGCCATTGTGTGCATTTTGAATGCATTCAGTGATTGGGTGCATAATAACGTTTGGCCTCTTTTGTAACTTTCTGATGTGTCTTTATAATCATAATGGACTTCCTTGTGTTTAGACGCCATTAGCGCTTTTATATAGATTGTTCTAAAACATATGATTTCAATCTTGCCACATATGATGAATGCGAAGAGTTTAACTGTAATGTGCTTATTATACACCTGTCTGTGCCATTTGAAAATGAAAATTAAAAAATAAAAATACACAGCCATTGCATGGACAGAATGTCAACTGAATTGACTAGCAAAGAGAGACAACAAAACAGTATATAATTTTAGTAATATAAGAGAACAATAATGACACGCTTCTCAATGAAAAGAGCCTTTTCAAATGGTCTCGGCTATTAAGGCAAAAAGGCATAATTTTCTTTCTCTGCAAAATAGTAACAAGCGGTAATGCTTTACCTGGAGAGAAAGCAGTTGTTGACTTGGCTTTACCTCTCACAGAGCTGCTCTGAAAAACCCGCTGGAGGCTTTAACAGACGATTTATACTATATTTAATGGAATATTTAATGCCCTGTGGACTGTAAAGTTGCATTATATGACTTTGGAGTGAAGGTTGACTTTTTAAAGGAAAAGGAAAATTTGTTAAAACATTTACTCACCATCAGGCCATCCAAGATGTACCTGTAAATTAGTATGTTTCTTCATCAGAACAGATTTGGATAAATTTAGCATCACTTCTTCACTAACGGATCCTCTGCAGTGAATGGGTGCCATCAGAATGAGAGTCCTAACATCTGAACATCACAATAATCCACACAAATCCAATTTGGTCATTAACATCTTGTGAAGTGAAAAGCTGCATGTTTGTAAGAAACAAATCCTTAATTAAGGTGTTCTAACTTTAAACTGTCACTTCTGGCCAAAATCCATAATCCATAATAACACTTCCTCCAGTGAAAAAGTCCATCACCTGTTGTCCTCTCACATCAAAATCTACCAACATATTTGTTTAGAACTGTTTTGGACTGGTTTCAAATGGTGTTTGATCGGTGCATATTTCTCTCCTGATTCAGATCAGATGACTTTTTCACTGGAGAAAGCAATATTATTGATAAAAGATGTGAATTGTAGCAGGAAGCAATGGTTTGAAGTTAAAAATGTCTTGATGGATTTTTTTAAACAAAAAGCAGTCAGTTTGTCACTTAAGACATTAACTGATGGACTGGAGTCATGTGGATTTCTTGTGGATTATTATGATGTCTTTAACAGCCATTTGAACTTTCGTTCTGACGGCACCCATTCACTGCAGAGGATCCATTGGTGAGCAAGTGACGTGATGCTTAATTTCTCCAAATCTGTTCCGATGAAAAAACAATCTTATCAACTGTACATCTTGGATGGCCTGAGGGTGAATAAATTTACAGCAAATTTTCATTATTGTGTGAAGTATTCCTTTAAGGACATCCCCACAGGATTTTACTGGTGCAAAAATCTGCTCACAAATTTGACAAAGAATTTGTTTTCTTCTTGGTCACACTGCATTGCTGCTCAATTTAATAAAGTTAAACTCTGGAAATGTTGACAAACTAGTTCAGTGTCAAAATGGCCTCCAGGTGAACTGATTTACTTTAAAGGTTTTTTGTTTTTGTTTTTCCTTGAGAAAACTAAGTGCACAACTAACCTTTCTTTTTTCTCTCTCTCCAATCTCTTACTAACCATTTTTTCTGTGTTTGTAGTTCATACAGGGTGACCAGAAGTTAGCACTTCTCTCAGCATTGATCAGCTGGCTCGGCAATAAACAGAAGAACAGCAGGAGAATACAAAGGAGCCAGTCAGACCTGTTTCCACAGCGGTTACAGACTTACATTTCCCCCTTGTGAGAACAACATCATAAGGACAAGATGGAGAGGTTGTGTGTGTGAGCGTGTTCTTTATTTCAAACTGATCTCCGGGTTTGTCACACAGAGGAGCCGGGGAATAAGATGTGCGCTATCGTGCGGCACTAAACGCCAGCGGTAACACAACGGCTGGGACTTCGGCAGATCCCAGCGTAATCACGCGTCTCAGACACAAAATCCCTTCATCCCTCTGCTCTCCTGCACCAAACTGCTCGGTTTAAGCGTAAAACTTTGTACAACGTAGACCTGTACCTGTGTTTTATTATCATTATTATTTCAATACTGTGCATCCTCAGATGTGTCTATCTTTTGGAAACGGAGAGAAGCGTTGTGTGGCTCACAAGCGCCCTCAAGAGGCCTTCAGACACATTTATTATGAGTTCTCCCAAGAGGAGAGAATAAAAACGGTTTGGCTCAGTCTGTTTAGAGATTCATGTATCTGAATTCACCAT